TGAGCAGTGAGCACTATTATTATTGGAATTTTAGAAGCAGATATAACAAAAATTTGAATAGCAACATGCACTGTTTTATAAGTATAAGTGTTTACCATGATAACCATAGGTAGTCTTAGCCACTTTTTGAAATAAGATTTTGATATGAATTTATAATCTCATTATTTTTTTAACATATAACAAGTCCCCGTAGCTCCYGCTAGTAAATTATTTAACTAAAATTCTGGTTTTTGAGATTCTTTAGTTCACCTATCATTCTACAAAAAATATTATAAATATCTCATTCTAGAAATATTACTTATTTCAACTGTATAAAGTGATATTAACATGAATGAAACGGGATATAGGTAATAACACTAATAACTTAAGCTATACTAAATGTACGACCTGCAGCCACAGCTTCTGGGTTGACAGAATATCAACTGACTCTTGAAACTTTGCGTTATTTTGTTGGCAGCTATTTTAAGTCGAGGAGAACAAATCGATTAATTTAAAACATTGCATTTCTTTACTTTAAATACTATATAAAAATATAAAAAATAAAGTTAAAGAATAAAATTCACTGTTGAAATATTACAATTTAAATAAACTTATTAAATTCGATTAAACATTTAAACAGTGTATAGGAACAATCGTCGTCAACAATAAACAATACACTAATCAGGTTACTATAATAATAATAATAATAATAATAATATTTATAGCCAGCACAATATTGGCGGTATTGATACCTATATTACACATTAAATTTACACATAATATGTTTATTTAGATACAACTTTACAAGTTACTAGTTAGTAGTTACCTACTAGCCAACACAGACATAATATATTGGGACATAGAATTTATACATAATACTATAATAATAATAATACCTATATTACGTCATTGAAATATACACAAAACAGTAAAAAATAAAACAAAATTATTAAAACACTACCCAAAAAACAAGGCTTGTACCTTCGGGTGGATAAGTTCAATAGAGTCAATACATATAAATTAAACTTTTTACAGATCTGCAAATAAAATATATATACAGGGTGTCCCGTGAGGATTTGCCCATTGCGATATCTCCCGAAATAATGGTGATATCGAAATTCTGGTTTTTAATAAAACTCACAGGGATAAGAACTATAATTACATCATATTTTAATTTATTTTAATTTTTTAGGAAAAAAGTTAAGAAATATATTTTTTTATTTAATTATTTCCAAAAAAATTAAAGATAGCCATTTTGTAGAGTTTATTATTCTAAAAATATTGAAGTTTCTAAATTTTATTTCCATTAATTTCCCGATTTTTAATATTTTTTTTAGTTCCGAGAAAAATTGTGAATTATTTAACWCCGTAATGTTATCAAACATGTGACCACCGCGCCGCGTGCATTCCCATACAGCCGGCCGAATACTTTCCGTGTTCCTAATAAATAGGTATGCATTTATAATCATATTTTATTTCTTCAAWACTAGAAAAAATATTAAAAATCGAGAAATTAATGAAAATAAAATTTTGAAACTTCAATATTTTTAGAATAATAAACTGTGCAAAATGGCTATCTTTAATTTTTTTGGAAATAAATAAAAAAAAWTTTTTTTAATTTTTTACAAAAACATTAAAATAAATTAAAAAATGAAATAATTGTAGTTCTTATCCCTGTGAATCTTATTATKAAACCCGAATTTTAATATCTCCAYTATTTTGTGAGATATCGCAATGGGTAAATCCTTGATGGACACCCTGTATTAAAATACTTAAAATTAACATTTCATTTCTATTAAACAACAGAACATTTATTTTTATTTAAATAACATTAGAAAAAAAGTTAATATTACTCAAAATTATTATTGTTTAGATCCAAAGTATATAATATTAATTAATTAACACAGATTTCGTTGTAAATATTGTAATATCAATAACTAATGTCTAATTTCCTACATAAATCTATTCCTATATTAACGGTTACACAACAGATCATCGCACTCAGTCACTTTCAAGTTCATCACAAATGCAGAACTACAAAATAAAATATAARCACCTTATAAATATTATTTTGATGTAAATAATAACCCTTGTAACCCAATGGCCTATGTCGCGGGRTAAATTTTTTGTCAATAAACATAACAATAACAAACAAATGGTGTAAATTTTGAATTTCTAGGATTATTCGTTTTTGATCMACAACAAAATAAGAATATCGTTACAAGAGAAATTGAGTGAATATCCAATATCCTGCTACGTTGTAATTTAAATACTCTTAAAATATTCCTCGATGAATGATCACTGCATCTTTGCATCTGTATACCTACTATACCTATAATATAGGTATATAAAACTATTTTTGTCACATATCTTCTTACTGTAGGTACTCATTGGTGTGCGCGTCGGTCGTGTCAAAGTTCGTTCTGTGAATTTTTATAGGCCTTAACACCCTATGCCCAATCATATTACTCATATATTTTATGATTCACTAACTACATAGTTTAATATATTGTGTAATGTATATGCCTTATACATTACATATACTAAAAAATTAACTACATTTGTGCTGTATATTTTGTAAAATTGTTGACCAAAGGGCCGAAGAATTGGCAATGATAATATATAGGCACCACAGGTTTTAAAGCCTGCCCACGTGTATGTCTGTACTTATCTGCATAAGTATATAACCAACTACTCTCGATTGTAGCAGCGCAATATGTTATGTAGTATGTGGTACTTATAGTATATAAGTAACTACTATATTGTCAAGGTTATCAGTTAATTTAATTAATTTACATATCAATATAGATTATCTTCTTTTTTAATTGTGTAATATAAAAATAATTATTCTTATTTGATCAAGTAAGTATAATAAATAATATGTATGACTTAAGAAGAAGTATGTAATAACATGTTTTATTATAATATTTAAAAATAACTATAATAGCATTGTTGCGTAATGTATCTACTATATACCTTTAGTTAAAAAACTACAATAAGGGTTTAATTTTTTTTGTTCCATATTCAAATTCCTGAGCAGTGTTTTTGGTACGTATGTGAAGTTGGCCCACCCAGTGACTTGCAAATTCTTGCAAATCAAAAGCTATCGTTTGGTATATATTCGGACCTTTTCGGACAACTTGTGTGGGCTACGTGAATTTGGCCCACCCTTCAATTACTCAAAAACCGATTACTTGCAAATTCTAAAAACGGGCTTGCAAATTCTTGCAAATTACTTGCAAAATATTAGTGGTGCTTTGAAATAAATTCTATTATATGGGTGGGCCAACTTCACATACGTCAAGAGCTGATGAAGTCAACGCGTCTTTGAAAAGACCCTACTTATGGCCTTATWTAAAATATTAGAACTTAAAACTAATATGAGAGTGCTATGAACAGATCAGGCATCCAGAAAATAAATAGCAATTTAATATCTGAGAAATCTTGCAATAACAATTTGCGATCAGATTGTCTTATACAATGAAATTATTAACATCCAAAATTCCAAACCGAGATCCAAACGTTTCCAATCGAGATTGTAACTGGGCAATAACGTCTTAATTTTACAAAATAATACAAAAACACCTTTTACACAGAGGCGTGCCCAGGATCAAAATGTAGGATAGGCCGGGTTATAATAATTTAAGTTTATATAATATATACACAATACACATTATTTTTTATTTTTTTTTTTGAAACTTCATAATATTTTTAAATTGAATTAGAAAAAAAATGAGTATAAAATAATATAATACAACACAATTTATTGAAGGATTTATTCCTCCTGTTTGACTTGTTAATAATATTTAAAGATTTAATTTTAACATTTTCGTTTGTGGTTGATCTATTGTACTATCATCATCGTTCAATGTCTTTGTGAATTTCGGAATAGGTTTAAAAAATTGGGTTATCATATTTTTATTTTTATTTAATTATTATATAAAATAAAAAAGTACTTAGGTTTTTCTAATGRTCTACATAAACAAAAACAGACAAAACGATTTCCTCGATCGGCCTGGTTATACACAAGTCACTATAATTAATACGTCTACACAGTACACACTGTAATAAACTAATAAATTATTAATAGATTAATACCAAAAAATAACATATTTTATAAACCATATTTGATATTATTCATTATCTTATATCAAATGACGATTGTCGGCAGTAAACGGCCAGTGACGAATGTATAAATAACTCTCTTCGGATGTATTATTGTCTATATATTATTTACTATTTTTAGTCGTACTATTTAGCCGATAAGCAGTACTGTGGCTACAATAATTGTTTGCGACGAAGGAAAGAATTAATAATAACGTATAAAAACGTATAACGCTTGCTGTAAGTGGATAACTAATAAATAATCTTTGTTCCAAAATGATTCAATTACATATCGTATTATGAAGAAAAAATGTATACAATTATGTTTCTTGAAAAATATTAATAATTATTATTTGAAAACAGGGTAGGCCTGGGCCTACCTGTCCTGCTGGGCACGCCACTGTAGTGAGTGAGTTTTACAATTCAACATACTTCGAGCGTGGTCAATATTTACCATGCACTTATCCGTTATTGTGAATGTCAACAATCACCGGTTGTATGAACGCGTAAAGACCATTTTGCCAACATTCACTATGATTTTTAGTGAATGTCAACATACACCGGTGACTGTCAACATAAATCATAACGTTTTTAACTTGAAAATTTGATATAAGTAGGTACCAACATTAAGATTTCAAAAAATATTAACTAGTTTAATAATAATTAATTACATGATATTACCGAGTTCTCATTAATCATAATAAGACAATATATTATTATACAAATAAGTATTAAATATTAATTATATTAATACAGTAATACATTTAGATTTAAATGACATTAAGCCATTACTTAGCTTACATAGACATTTGTATTTCTCCCATTTCCCCATTATATTGTTCATCCATGGTACACATTTGTATGAATACTTCCGAAACCTCTCCACATGTTTTATTCCTAATCATACCGAACTACTGGAAAACGTCCAAAAATCTAAAAATACTATCCTCAGGCTTAACTTGTGAATTCTGCGGCTTACTGTCAGTTGATATAATACATACTAATATCTCATACCTATCTATTATCTAATCGTGATATTATCATGAATGACCTAGCACCGCAGGGCAGTGAGCCCTTTTCGATTCAACACGATCGTTTTCGTAACATTTTGAAATCATCTGATTGGGATGAATTCATCAAGTCGACAGACGACAAACAGAAAATACAGTTCGTATACAAACGGCTGTACGCACAAGGGCATGCTTCCGGTGGCTGTAAAAATATCGAAGATGAACCGGCGAGTTACAAAAGTGGAGAAAAGGCTTTAGAAATGAAACAATCCGGGAATGATTACTTTCAGAAATCAGATTATCGAAATGCGTTGAACCGGTATTCTTTAGCTGTGATCCACTGTCCCCAAACCAAAGGTAGGTACTTAAGAAATTATAATAATATGATGGTGAGGTGTTTTT